CCACCCTTCGGAAAAGCATGAGCCTTGCTCACCTCCTACAAGAAATATTTGTAGATCCCTGCCTGGGTCTCAAGCAGAGAGGCATCTCCCTTGCAGCTGTCCTTCAAGTGTCTAAAGCCACCCCCTGCCTTGTCTTCATGTGTCAGGTAGCTGACCTCCTCTGCCTGTCTCCAGCCACTCTCAAACTGACTCTTGCTGTTTCCACTCAGCTTCATTCTTCAAAATGAATTTCAGATATTTCAGCCTTCTTTGCAAACCAGGTGAGAAGAGGACCTCAAGAGGAGGAGAAATCTCAAGGGCAGCGCAGACATGGTTTGAAGGGACCCTGGGCAGAAGACAGCATGCACAAGGTGGAGCTAGGAACCTGCACTCCTGCAGTTATCATGGCATGAAACTACTTCGGGAATAACGCTGAGACTTCTGTAGAAAAATAGTAACGTGGTTGACTAACTTCTGTGAGATGGTCCCTGAGAAAGAGTTAAAAGTAACTGCAGGACTTCCATGGGACTAAGAAATTGTAATTTTGATTAAGAGCTGAATGTCACTTAAAGGACTATCAGGGACATGTTTCTGATCAAGTACCTCATTGTATCAGTGGCAGAGGTTTCCCTTGACACAGCAAAACAGACATTCCTCCAAGCTGCAGGTACTCCTGTCTTGCCGGACCACCCACACGCATTGCTACTGGACCATGACTGATTTTGATAGAGGACTGTGGTGTGATAGCAAGGACGCTCCCACCGCTGCATTACTGCAGGGAAGCAGAGGACAGCAACCTTAGCTGTTGCCCAGCATTTTAGATGACATCTCTTAGCATCTTGTTCCTAAGATAGGCTCCATGGTGAAAGACCAACACCTACTCCATGTCTTAGCAAGGGGCTGAAGATCAGCTCCAAGAAGGTGTCAGCATAGAAGTGGTGATGGGTGCCCCAGCATCTCTGCTAGGAGAAAAACAGGTAGGTCAGTGGTGTCAGTGATGAAGTTACGTGCTTCAGGCTCCTTCTGCTCCTATTTAAGAGATGCCAAACCCACCCCCACTGAAATGCCACCTAACACTCAAACGATTGGGACAATATTTACTAGCTCAGGGACTGCTGAAACAGAATATACAATTTCTTCCAGAAGCTCAGTACACACACTGTATACAACAACAGTAGAAAAAAATCTGTCATGGGAATGTTTGACTGCTAATAGGCTCATTTTTCAGACAAGCAAAGTACCCACTGCTTTAAAAAAAAAAATACTGGGTTAGGCCCCAGTTGTCCTAGTTAATTTGGACAGAAAATAATTTCAATTTTGATGACAGAGAAAATACAGAGTCAATTCCTCAACATACTGAAGTTAATGGCAAACTCTTTTCATCTTGGTCATTTTGTCATGCGCAGCTAATTCCTGACATGCAACTTGCGCGATGCACTATTGATTAGCCTGCAGGGCACATTTGACAATAGAGGTTAATTTCTTTTGCATGCTTACGTATTTACATTCCTTCCCTCCCTATGAAAAATAAAGATGCAGAGAAGTATGTCAGCCTTCAAGAACAAGAAGCACGTTTCACTGTCACGTTACGACAACTTTTGTTTAGCAGACTACAACTCTGGGGTTTGGTTTGGGTCATGGATTGAAATCCAGTGCAACAAATTCTTACAGCACTAATTGTTAGCGCAGGCATAAAATGTTAAGTAAGAAGGATTAAAGGCTGCTCAGGCATACCAGAGCTCTTTCCAACAAGACAAATTACAGCTATTATTTTATATCAATGAACTGTAATAATCTTGAATTCCCTGCACTGGAAGGAAAATTTGTGATAATGAACTCTTCTCTTATCTACCTTACCTTCTAGCCTGCGATAATCAGGGTACTTCTTTCGTAGAGAAGGGGACATTCCTCATGTCAGCTTTGCTCATACGAATTTATTTAACAAAATACATTTTTAAAATCAGTCTTCCAATCAGACAATATGTTTATTATGATTAATGCTCAAGTAGAGTTGTTTACCATGCATGTCTAAAAATAATGTGATTTTAAAAATAACATTTCCCACAGAAGTTAACATTTGGACTTCAGAAACAGGGAATAAAGTCTGAATCCACGACTCACCCTTTGCACAGCTGATCTTTGCAGAGCAGAGAAAGTTTTAACTAAAGTAGTTGCTGCCTTTAGTTTCTTGATCATTTTTTTAAAATCAGTTTCACCTCTGGCTTTCTGTGCTAGCATGAAGCTGACTCCTCTGCAACCTCTTAGACTTGTTCAGTGCTTAAGTCCCACCTGGGTGGGAGCAGTTTGGAGTTTTCATTTGGAACTAGCAGGAGGTGACGCTGGATGAAAGCAAGGGTAATCCTCTCAGCATGCAATTCAGAAGCAATTCTAAGCAGGTCTCAAAAGATTAAATCAGCTGAAGAAATGGATCATCTAGAGGTTGGTCTTGTGCTGTTCAGTGTTTAAAAGTCTGTCTGCGCTGCCTCTCCCACTTGATCTGTGAAGCAGGTGTGCAGTGCTCAGCGCAGGTCCAGCACGGCGCTGTCACTGGGCTGTGTGCGTGCAGGCTGCGGAGGCAGCCATGCCCACCCCAGCAGACCCTTGCTTACGGTCCTGCTTTCCTGGTAAAAGGGTTACATGGTAGCCTCAGAAGGGGAAGAAATGGCAGAAAACTCCTTTTTGTTTCTGACAGCCACCCGCTCATACATTCCCATCAGCCCCATTTGTCAGTGCACAGCACGAGGGATGGGGGTTACTGGTCCCTGCTTCCTCCAGCACAGCCCAAGACCTCAGTTCTGCGCCACATTGTCTCTGAGCAAGTGCTACAGCTACCCAAAAGGGAGGGGAAGCAGCGTCCAAGGCGGTTAGCCTCTAAGATGTTCCCAAAAAGCACAACACTTACTGTCAAGTCGGAAGGGACCCCTAAGGATCATCGAGTCCAACTCCCTGCTCCTCGCAGGACTACCTAAAACTAAATCATATGACTAAGAGCATCGTCCAGATGCTCCTTGAACTCTGACAGGCTTGGTGCCGTGACCACTTCCCTGGGGAGCCTGTTATGGATACTAAGACAAAATTGCCTTAAAAATTACTGTAGGAAGGAAAAATATGTGCAAAGACTTTTGAGATACTGTGCCCATGTGTTTAAATTTGTGTGTTCTAGACTATGGAAGATAAAGTGGCAGGAGCAGGATTAGCAGGGGGAAATGCTGGTTTTTGGGAACAGTGATAGCCATTTCCTCTCTCAGTGATCCCTGGTCATTATCCCATTTTTCCATCCTTGACTACTCGATTCATCCTAGGTAGAAAATGATAAAAATGAAACTTCAAGAGGAGGCAGCAAGAACACCTACAGAGAGATTTATGTTGGGGTTTCAGTCTCCTAGACAAAGCTGCTGGGATCTTTTGAAACAAACAGCAAGCTGCTTCTCTGCCTCCTCCGACTGACAAACCTACCATCCAGCTCCTGCTTCTCCACCCTCTGCATCAATACTGCCCCTGGGCATTCAACTGTATTTCACACACTAGCTAAGACTAGGCTCCTGAAAGAGCGGGCAATTTGTATGTGCTGTAATTATGCCCCCTCTACCATTCTTGTTCTCTTCTTTGTAATGGATTTAAGTACTCATTTCCACTATCATTGACTAATTTAATGGTTTTCTAGGATCTCTGACAGTCAAGACACTCACACTCTGACAAGCTACCAGTGCTGTGGATTTGGGTGACAAGAGGAGATGGAAGAAAAAAAAAATCCATCTTCCAGACTTCCTCAGTTTTAAGGAAACCCGTTGAGCATGAAGCAGGCCAGCACCATCCTATTGAGAATGAATCTGAAGGCAAGCTGTGAATTAACACCCTACATGGGATGGTCAAGTTCCTGAGAACAGCAGTGACACTACCTCTTTGATTAATGCTGCCTTTTGTACATTTTAAAGGGGATGACAGAGTTAGCAATAACTAGTGAGATTCTTCCTTTATCAATTACCAGAGGGAGGGCCCTAGCTTCCAGAAAACTGCCATTATACATAACTAGCTCTGACATAAAATCCCTAAATACTAAAAAAAAAAAAACAAAAAAACGGGGGGTGAGATTGGGAACAGTATTTAATTCACTTTATCTTTAAATACTATCTAGTAATAGCCTAAATTAGTAGAGTGAAGTAACAAAGGGCATTAATTCAGTCATGTTTAGGGTACCATAGCACATAGGCATAACCTGTGAAAGACTTGCAGCACAAAGTGGCATAGGTGGGGGTGGTTGGGTTTTTTATTATTTTGTGGGGCTGTTTTTTTTCTTTTTTGTTGTTGTTTGTGTATGTTTTTTTTTAAACTTCAGTGGCTCCCTTTAGTCTTACAAGTGGGGAGTATATCCCACCTTTCTGAAAGACAGTCTACATCAAAGCAAATGAATGCACATACCTAGGTAGTCACAGACAGTGTAAAACACTAATTCAGCATGTAATTTGTTGTTCATATTTTTACAATTTATTTTGCCATTTTAAAAATGTCACATATCGTTTTAAGAGGTGAAAGAATATCTGTTAAAAATTGAAACCTTACCATTGGTTAAACCACAGTCAAAGGAATAATCTTTACCTAAACAGCATTATGTATGTTGAAAGCATCAGCCAGCAAGTGGCCTTGCTTTATATAAGTATATTCCTTCTAAACAAAATGTTCCATGTTGTCAAACTGATTCACAAGCAACACAAAAGTATTGCTCATCCACAATTTCAATGCAACTGCTTACAAACAAGAGTCGGAAAACATTCTGCGTCAGCACACCACAGAAGACAGCATGGCTAAAATAAAAGAAAAGAAACCAGACAAACAGCAAGATATATAAATCAGTAGGCAGAACATGTGTGCTCAAACTGGAACTTGCCACAACATGGAAGAAACATCTTTTGCTTACAGCCTTGCCCATGAACAATCAAAAGCAAGCATGCAGCATCCACATTCTCTCTTCTTAATGTCAGCTTACAAACACTGCCAAGCGACTATGATCTTATACATCTTCCAAGGCAACTTGTTGTCTTTCTGAAAGGCTAACGTATTTTGTATGGATCTAAAGATGGATTTGTGGCTGTCAAAAAATCCATCTGGTTTCTAAAACTGAATAAACATTGTTCTTTAGTTCACTGTAGTTTATATTAATACCAAAATAAGATATTTGACTTTGAACTAGACCCATATGCAATCAAGCATGGACAAGTTGACAACATTTGCAACATTACTGGCATCACGACACAACATTCTGTGTACGACTTTGGGCATCAGAGTTAGAACATCATGTCATCTAGTCCATCCTCCATAAACTTCTTGTAAATTGCCATAAACTTTGCTACAAATGCTTCCAGATGATAAATGGCTTTGCTGCCCAGTTGCAGGCGGTGTTCGTAGAAGGCCGCCATCTGTGCAACTTCTCCTTTCAGTTGTCCATCACAGTTATTTAGAAGTTCTGTCAGGAGGCCCTAGAAGGGGAAAAAACAGGACAGTATTTGAAAAATTATGTATTTTTTGTTAAAAGGATAACCTCATTTCTCTGAAAATAGCCAAGCTATGACCAATAGTTCACTCATGAATCCAACAGAAAAGACATTGAAGACTCATTACACCAGCTATTTGACAGAACTAGATTCATGGAACCATGTCTTTTCAGAACCTTCCTTCAAGATAAATTTCTCATGTCAAAATAGATGTTACCTATTGTGTTCTTAGATGGAAAAACCATGTATTGGAACTACTTACACCTTAATAAAGAAAATAAGTTAACCTCATCTCCAAATACTATAACCTCTACTGCATGCAGGCACATGGCTCTGGGGAGAATTTTTACCAAGATAGCAAGTGTATTAAAACCACTTACTTCCTATCTCAACAGCATCGAGCACAAAGAGAAACAACATTAATAAATAACAAGGCAAGGGCTTATTTAAAACTTAAATACATCTTTTTATATTTATGTACATACGTATGTGTAGACACACACAGGATACGTTACAACAATACTCCTGTCATTACAAATACCAAAACCGCATTATTTTAGATCCGAGACAGCAGTAAAATCATTGCAAATCCATCTCTATTAAAACGGTCAGGAATAAGTGACAAGTATCTCTAGACCGTTTCAAGTTTATGAAGGCGGAGTGGGTAGAGAACATGGACCTTTGGCCTGACAAACAGGGCAATGCAGGCTCCACTAACCTACTATAAGAAAGGAAGGCGAAAGAAACATCTAACTACCAAAACTGACAGAAAGCAGAAATCAGTTAATGTGAAATTTATTATCTTGTAATTATGTCTGATGGCAAGGTCCACCTACGGTAAGCTGCAAACATTAGCTTTAATCTTTGTTCTGCTCTAGTTGTCTTCAGCATGCTTTCATCCTGCCTAAAATAAAGACACGCACATCCCATTTGCTTTTTTTCTCCCAAGACGACTTCTGTCTTTGAAGAGACCTGCTGGGCCTTCAGCAAACCTCTCCACTAGGATATAGCAAATATTGAACTTATAACAACAAAACTTTTACAAAAGAAAACAAACCATATCAAAATTAGCCCATAAAAATATGTCTATGCTTCAACACAGAAACTGTCCAGAGAAGTCTTCAGGGGGACTAAGCATGTCCTCCTTTGTTTTTACTCAGCTATGATGCTGCTGTTCTGTGATCACAGAACAAGTTTTAGTAAACCATTCAACGGTCGTGTGAACAAGGAAGCCTGCAACGAAAATAAACTAAACATTTACATTTTCCAAATTAGAGAACAGAATCTTCCTGCCCCCAAAATCTACACAACGCAAAACCATCATGCCTAAATATACACATGAACTTAACTGAACAGTCTAGTATTAATCAACTGAGGATCATGAGAAGTGAATGCTGTGTATCAGTGTTTGCAGGACAAGGTCTTAATTACTGCTTCAGAGCGATAACCTGGACTATTTGGTTACTCCAGTGGAAAGAAACACAAGAGAAGTATCTTTTGGTCACTCATGTCTATTTGGAAAGGACACAGCTTTTCATCAATATTTGGATAATTTGTGATGTTGTGGTGTGTTTTTTTTTTTAAACTCAAATTGAGACTGTCATAGCATTAATATTTGTAACACATTAAGAGCTAGATAGCTGAATTACCTTCATTATAATCTCAGGAGGAATGCAGTGTGTCAGGAGTTCATAAAGCCGTCCACGGACCTCTAAAAGCCTGTTGGAAAGACACCACAAAATATCAGAAGTATGTCCCCAAAGCATATTAATGCGTTTTCACTATTTGCGAAATACAGTCCACGAAAAAAGTCAACTCAAGCAAAGGGGTTTTTTCTGGTTTTGCATGACTCAAGCAAAGGGGTTTTTTCTGGTTTTGGTTTTGCTTTACTTTAAACCTAAAAGCATTGCACAAGTCAGTCTGTTTCAATTCAAATGCTACATATCACCTTTTATTCGAAACAGTAAGATATGTTACATATACTCCAGTTACAATGGTCTCAGTTAATCTAGAAGCTACAAGGGTATTAGAATTTGTCTCAGGCTTGTCTCCCTTTAATTTTTCTTCATATCTAAATTATTATTCATGCTTAAGATTAGTGAGAAAACACCACAAAATTGATTAGAGCCACAAGATTCGTTTTCGTCACTTTTCTGTTTTTATTGTTTACAAGAGGGGGTAAGATGATTAGGTGGCAGAAAGTGACAGAGTTATCAATTCTCAACTTTTGATATCGGGAGGTCAGAGGCTACAAGCATTTAAATTAAATACAAAATTTTAAGTGACATCTCATGTAATATATGGAACAGACTAAAAGGATCAGGCTGTGCATATGACACAGAGATGGATAAAGGGGGCATCTCCTAATGTGCTTTAAAAAAGCCATGGTTTCTCATTTCCAATTCTTTTACAAAGGTACGATATGTTAAAGATAGTGAAACAGAAGTTTAAATAAAACAAACAAACCCCCCCCCCCCCCCCAAAAAAAAAAAAAACAGACAGACAGCATAACATGCAACTAAGCTTATGCTCATTTTTGATTACAGCTTCAACAGAGAAAACCAACAATTGTTTCAGTTCCTGAAGCTCATTCAGCCTCCTCTGGTAATTTTAAAGCTCACTTCCTCTGCCTGCAAAGTACCAGCTCCAGTAGAAATGCCAAAAAATTACATATAACTAAAGTAAAGATGCTACATTTTTAAATGTAACTTTTTTTTTTAGGTTCGAGAGTACACCAAAAACATAATTTGTAGCTGCAAGTAAGTGTATTCACCTACCTTTGTGGTGTCTGTTGACCGACAATAGCATTTGCAGTTTCTCTCAAATAAACTTCCCAGTCCATCTCAGGAATGTCTTGATCAGCAGTAAAAGGATACCTACATAATAATAATATCTTTGAAAAATTAAAATCAAAGCAAACTGTCACCTATTCTAACAAGGCCTCAGAAGTAAGTTCATTTATGTGTCCGAGAGTATAATTTACATTAATTTTTAGCAGTGACTTACTGTTGTACTCTGCAGGACTCACACATAAGTAGTGCTTTCCGAAGATTTCTGCCAGATTTCTCTGCAAGCCTTTGAGCCAGTTCCTGAGGAAGAGTCAGGCCTTCTTTCTTACACACACTGGACAAGACGTGGCAGATCTAGACGGGAAACAGATAGCAGGGAGTGCAACACTTAGCAAACAGTTTAGCACCTACAGATTCTACTGTCTGAAACATTTCTGGACCAGAGATGGACCAGTCTATCATAAGACACGCTTGACAAGTCACCCACCAGAAAGAAAAACTAGGTCACTTTGTGAAAGTAAAATATTTCATAAGCTCACAGCAAAAACTTATCTAGTAAGAAGTTTTAAATAACTTCTTGTTGCTTCTGTTTCAACATACATCTTCAATGCTGGGAGCAGGCACTCGTACAGCCAAGCATCTGCTTTGAATAGGTCCTATAATTTTTGACATGGAGTTGCAGCACAGGATCAACCTGCAGGTCGCCATGTACTTCTCCATTGTTCTTCGCAAAGCATGCTGAGCATCTTTAGTGAGTTTGTCAACTTCCGTTAACAGCACCACTGAAAAAGCATTAAAAATAGTAGGTTTTTTTATTAATATCAAAACTTTCTAAGAAAATGAGTACTTTGATATACAAGCCATAATACCAAAACAAATGATACAAGCAGAAAAAGGCAGCATGGTTCCCACAGGCAGGAAAATAAAGATTAAGACAACCTGCGTGCCTTTTTGACTGTATAATCTTCTGCTCCTGCACACCCTATATTAACGTCATGGAATGTCAATTTCTTCAGAGCAGGGCCTGCAACACTTCAGTGCCAAGAAATAATCCAGGTACATGTAGAAGCTTTCACTTTGATAGTTAGTACAGTAACTTTTTAAAGGAATTTTTAAGTAAGAAATGCAAAACAATTTATGGCGTAAGGACATATCAAAAAGCAAAAATTTCTTCAAGACTCCCCTCAATACATTTTATATTTAAAAGCCAGTATCTTAGCTTAACAAAGGAGTAGTAGAAAGCTGCCTTGTTATTGTAACTGCAGTGCTTTTCCATGGTCTTTTAAAAAAATAAAAACATATTTCAAGAATGCTTCAGAACAACCAGGAGACACCTAATACGAAGCAGCTAACCTGACCAGCTACCTTCTGCAGGTTCCTCCATAGGCAACTCATAGATGGCTCATTTCAGTACTCTGAATGGTCCAGTGAGAACAGCCTGGAGGAACAAGTCAGCCCATTACTCTTCAATTTCTCTTCTGGTTATATATGCAGCCTAAGAAGACCAGCCAGCTTACCAGATATTTTGAGGTGCATGGTGTGACTGCAGATGTAAGGATATATACACCAATAACTGGTAGAGCCAATCAGTGTCTAGCAGCTTAGGTGAAATATAGTATTTCTTGAGAACAGTGAGGAAAACGAGAAAAAGTACTAAATCCATGACCATTTTCAACTAATTTCTGCTCTACTCTATCTATCAAGATTTCCTCTCTCCTTCAATCTTTTGTTACATAGTTCTGATTTTGCTTTCAATTGAGCCATGGGGAGGAAATATAACACGGCAGA